ATGGGAGATTTAGAAGATTATAGAAGATCAAGAAAGTTGGTGAAACTGGAAATTAGGACATCAAACAGGATATTTGAGAAAAGGTTTGCTAAAAACGAAAAATTAACAGTAAGGATTTCTTTAAATACATTAAGAGTAAACAAAATGTTAGGATTGGGTAGCACCCTTGATGGATGATAAAGGAAGGCTGGTATCTGATGATTGAGATGGCTAAGTTATCAAATTTTGCTTTTTCTTCAGTTTTTACTAATGAAGATTCAAGTAGTATTCCACATCTTTAACAGTTGGTAGATGGAAACAAGATCGAATAAACTGACTGCATTAATTCTGAGCTTGTTAAGAAGAAATTGAGAAGTTTAGAGGATAATAAGGCTTCTAGGCCAGATAATATTTCTCCCAGGGTTTTGAAGGAGGTTAAAGATTGGATATGTGAGCCACTTACTACTATTTTTTGTCAGTCTTTCAATAATGGGCAGGTACCAGAGTATTGGAAGTTAGCTAATGTAACTCCTCTTTTCAAGGAAGGTGATAAAAATTGTCCCACTAATTATAGACCCATTAGTCTTACATAAGTTGTGGGAAATGTTTTGGAAAGTCTGTTAAAAAATGCTTTGCAAAGTCATTTAACAAAGTTTAGAATTTTATTGGATAATCAACATGGTTTCACTAAGTGAAAATCTTGCCTTACAAATATTTTAACGTTCTTCGAAAAGGTTACTGCTTATGTAGATGAAAGTATAAGGGTGTAGATTTGATGTATCTGGATTTTTAGAAAGCACTTGACAAGGTGCCACATAAAAGGCTTATAAAAAATTAGCTTTATAGGTGTGGGGGATAAGTTAGCAAATTGGATGGAAGAGTGGCTGGATGGAAGAAAGCAGAGGGTTGTTAGAAATGGAGCTTAGTCAAACTGGATTAATGTCACATGTGTAGGTTATTATAATTTGAATTATAAGTATAATTTGGATGGGAATAACCTTAACAATGTCATGAAAGAGAGGTATCTTTGTGTAATAGTTGATCAGTCTCTTAAGCCATCCAAGCAATGTGATATTGCTAGTGGTTGGGCAAATAGGATTTTAGGTTATATCTATAGAAATAGTGAACACAGGTATAAAGATGTTGTAATTTCATTGTATAGGTCACTGGTTAGGCCACATTTGGAGTATTGTGTTCAGTCATGGGCTCCTTACCATACGAAGGACATTGAATAGTTGGAAAGGATTTAGAATAGGGTTACTAGAATGGTGCCTGGGATGGAGGGGTTGTCATATGAGGAGAGGTTGAAATCTCTCAAATTCTTTTCTCTTGAAAAAAGAAGAGTTAGAGGGGATCTTATTGAAGTGTTTAAGATTATAAAGGAAATTAATAGTGTTTATGCATCATCTTTTTCTTTTCATACTTAACAGTGAGAATAGTAGGACTAGGGGACACAAATATACGTTTTGGCAGGGTAGGAGTCATCTTCAGCTAAGACGGTTTTATTTTTCTAACAGGGTGGTTGGCCTTTGGAACAGGTTGCATTCAGATGTTGTGGAGGCAGTAAATTTAAGTGAGTTTAAGAGAAAGCTTGATAAGTATATGAATGATAAGGGTTGGCTTTAAGATTTTTTATATATTTCTTATTTATTTTTTAAAAATGTATTTATTAATATTTTGAGTTTAGTTCAGAGTATGGGACAGCTGAGATGGACCCAATAGGTCCCATGTTGTTCCAAAACATTGTTATGTTATTAGCTGGAAGAAGTACCTTTGGTTAATGAGGCATTCATGGTGCAGAATGTAAGATTTTGGACTGTAATTTCTGGAATTTAATTGATATATATAACTTAATTGGTTCTTAATTAAAATTTAGTTTTTTTATTTATCTCCAATCTGTACAAACTGTTTGTTAGAAGTAAATTATATGATTACTGTATTTGCTGTAAATTTAGGCAGTTTTTTTTCCATTGTCCAAATTGTGACCTTAATTTATTACTAGCTGTTGTGAAAGTTCATAACTACATTCTGACTTCAGTTTTGAGAATATATTTTAGCAGGGCGCAGCATGGCCAGGTGGTTAGGGAGCTCGACTCACAATCTGCATGTCGCTGGTTCGAATCCTGCCCCACCAAACATGCTCACCCTTTCAGCCGTGTGTGTGGGGGGATTATAATGTGACGGTCAATTCATTGATAAAAGAGTAGCCCAAGAGTTGGCGGTTGGTAGTAATGATTAGTTGCCTTCCCTCTAGTCTTACACTCCTAAATTAGGGATGGCTAGTGCAGATAGCCCTCGTAGCTTTGCACGAAATTCAAAACAAACAAAATATTTTAGCATTTGTTCCTTAAAATAAAAATGGGATATTCACCAACAACACATTCCCATATTAGAGACTGAATGATTGAAAGTTTGATTAATTACATTTAAACTCATTTTCATTTTTACATTCTGGGTTTTCTTTTATTGTTTTAATTACAAATCATAGGTTTGTGTGTGTAATACTCCCCCCCCCCCCTATAATAAAACAAGATCTGCATAGACCTTCATAGTTTTTTTATTTATCAGTTTCATAACCTCTTTGATTACTGTTTATAATGAAATATTGATTCAAAAAAATGAAATGTGTGCTACAGTTTCCTAAAAAGTCTACAAATAGAGAGGGAAATAGAATACACAAGTAGTTCAAACTTTACCTACAATGTTCATGTGTTAAACAGAAGAGGTCAATTTTGAAAGTATCTGCTTTACATAACTTTTTGAAACACCCTTTATTGTGTAAACGACATTGCATTTCATTAAGGAAACGTTAAACAAATTAATAAAATACTTCTCATTACTTATCAACACAAAACAAAGAGGAAAAACTTGGAAAAAGTTCTTGTAATTTTTCATTTCATTTATTTATCATACAGTTATAGAAAAATTTACTGGTAATGAACTAAAATGTGGATTCCCATGATATTTATATAAGCTGATTCTTAATTATACATTTTTATAATTACACCCATATGTATTTCATCATAATAACTTTCGCAGGTGAATTTAGAATTAATACAAAATAATTCTCTCCTGGAAATCCAAAACCAAATTTATCACACTAAATGTAACCATTTTTACTTTAAACTATTATTTTTTCATTAAAAAACACCTTCCTTTTCATTTTCTCTACAATTCTTATACAGTATGCTATACAAATGTTTAGTTGGTTTTCTTGAAAGGATTATTTACTTTTCTTTAAAGAATTTTTTTTTCTACAGTCTGAAAATTTCCATAATTCTTCTGGAATACTTTTACATTGATTTTAACAACAGGGCTATGGGTGATAAGTAACCAAAGGAATATTTTATTTATTGCAGCTGCTATAAATGTGGGTATTAAATAATGAAAAGAAGTACTTTGTTATATAAAACTTAAAACTTGTTTATTGTCTGGATATAGAAAGTATAATATCTATGGTACAATGTTTCATCAGGTTAACCTGGTGAAATGTTGTGACCATAAATATTATACTCTGTATATCCCAACGATAAACAAGTTTTAAATGTGGCTATTAATTGTAGTTCTAGCTGAATTAAAACTGTTACATTATCAGAATAATGCAAATATTGTTTAAAGATTTTTTCTCTTAGAGTATGCAAAAAAAAAAATATGGCATAGATGTGCAGCTCGTTTTGTTTAATAAGGGTGATGCTGTAAAGTTTAATAATATCACAGTAAATAATGTGAGGGTTTGTGTTGCATTAATCAGTTTCATTTCTGGACCCACAATAATTTATTTCAAAAGTGTAACACCAAAATTGCTGTTCTGTATTATTTTAGAGAATTTTTTAGTTTTATTTACTGAATTTGAACTACATTTTAAACTTTGATCTTGTGTTTAAATGTCACCAAAATAATTTACTTTTCAGCAAAGTTAATTCTGAGATTATAACTTATAATAATGATGGAAACTTTTAAGACTAGGTTATGATGTAATTGATTTTCTTATTATTTTAGTTAAATTGTCAGATATAATTTTATATGCTAACCTAGAATTGCAACAAGTAAAATTATAACTGAATACTAAGGGTCAACAGACTGTTTTGGAAACCAATTGTCCATAACTCAATAAGAAATGCTCTTTATTTATATATTTTCCAATATTATATTTTGTTGGTTCTTAATTAATTAATATATAATAATACCTTTTATTCAAAGTAATGTTATAAGTTTAGATTTTGTTATAGTTTTATCATCATGTTTCATGTGAATTCTTTTTTTTTTGTTATGGGTTTACAGAGATCATCACTAAACCTTAGTATTTTTTGTTGAGTACATTACATATATATAAAATATATGGTAAGTGTGCATCTTAACTCATCAGATACAAAAACTCCAAAGAGGATTTACATCAGTTTTGTGAGTTTTGGTTGTATTGAGACAGTAGAATATCAGAAGTTTGAGATGGCAACATTACCCTCTACTTCACATTGTATATGTGCATATTAAAATAAAATGAGGAAGTGTGACAGTTCATGAGAGATCACACACATATATAGGAAATCATATCCTTTGTTTTACTTTTTTTTTTTTAACTTTCTTATAGCATAAAGATGATAAAAGCAAACAAATAATTTTTTCCTTAAATATGGATAACTGTAGGAAGCTTTGTGTTTTATCCCTATAATAGTTTCAGTACTTTAATACTGGTACAATTTCCATTGTACATTTTGACTTTTCACTGCTACTGACCAGGCCAAAATTTCCAGAAGCTCGGGCTAATACAGAAAAAAAAAAGTATATATATTATTTGTAAATGTCTTTGCTCGGGTATTCATCAATTAAATTTAGGTAGACGCGAGTAACGTGGAGTGATTCACTATCAATTGTGGCTTTTCTTAACTTTTGTATTTAATATTTAGAACAGTACATAATATTAACATAAATTAAATATTTCGTTTTCACACTTAACTGAAGCGAGTTATATGTTAATGTATGTACGTATACTAGTTCCTTCAAGGGGCTTTTTTACCCTGTAGGCGTTACTACCACAACAACAACGCTGACTATCGCCATTTCATGTAAGTTTCTTGGTGTTGAGATCTGAGTATTCGTGTATAATCTTTTTTGCATGTATAATAACCATGAGCATTAAATTTTTTTTCGTGCACTTTGTACATGTTCTGCATTACAAGTAACATTAATAGTTATCATATTTGGCATGGCAACAAAACCCTTAATAATTAAATGTAAGTTAATGAAATATTATGCTGTATTCACATCGTTTAATAAAGTTGTGTTTTTCTTACATTTATATCCTAGAAATAATGTATTTGAATACTGCAGGTACAGTATATAAAAACACCAATGATTTAAATTAGGTTATTATGTGATGCAGAAGAAATTTATTTGCATGGATAGCTTTTATGGATTATCAAGTACATTTTCTTATTCAAATTAATTGCTGGTTTGTCTTCAAAGTTTTCTAGCTCAGGAAAGCAGAGGACAACTGAACATTTGTCAAGACAAAAAAGAAAGGATAAATGTAATTTTTTTTCTGCATGCATGACATCTGAAATTCATATTTTAGATTAAAGTAATCATCTTTGACTTACTCTGATTATTCTTTCATAAAGCTGATCAGAGTTGATGATTGTTTTACTTCACAGTCAGGAAGGTCCTCCTCAAGTAGACTCTTATAGTGTCAGCTACCAGACATCATCTACAAATGGTCCACATGGTGATGACGGCTCTCTTAACTCTTCCCAGATGTCTGCTCCTGGTGACAATGCTACACTTGTAAGCCGAAGTATGTCCCAGACAAAAACTCAACAAGTGAGTATAATTAATGTTTTGATAAAGACCAGTATGTAAAAAAGGGGATTAACATTTATTTTTTAATGAAAGAGTTGGGGAGGAAAGGTTAATCTTTTGACCTTTTTTTCTTACTTTTAGTGTTTAATGAACACGAATTAATGATTGTTTTCTTTTTTATATATACAATAATTCCCTTCTTTGTTTATTTTCAGATTTTATTATTTTACTACAGTGTAATTATGTGTTTGTAAGTTATTTGTAAAAATTGGTTTAAGTTTTTGCAAGTAACCATTAGGAAACATGTTGTATTGTTAAATCTTTTGATTTGTTTTGTTAAATTATTTAATAGTTACAAAAATATATCCACCAGGTGTACACTAACATCATGCAATTTTAGATGTATAGGTGTACATCATGGTGCTTAAGCATACTATTATATATATAGTAGAGATGGCTGATATGTGTATTAAGAACTTTTATTTAAAAACACAAAACATTGTTACTTGTTTAATGTTTTTAAATAAAAGTTTTTAATACCCTTATCAGCCATTTCTACTATATATTTACCTGAAGTGGGTTCCTTGTCATTGTGACTTATTGGAGGTATTTTACCTGTAAGACTGGTGAATTGTATAAGAAAATCAATAAACAACAGTTTCAAAGAGTTAAAAATTATTTACCAATCACAAGCATTTATCTCATACACAACAGTATTTACTTGGCCTAACTATTGTCTAATGTTATTGTCGAACAAGGTCCTTAAGTTTGAAATTTGTTTTGGTAGATATGCTTCAGTGTGTCAGACTACTTAAATCTGTGTAGCTTCTGTTGTGTATATGTGTGTAGTTATTTGTATTTGGTTCAAGTTATTCATATAACTTGTTGGAAAATTGAATTGTTTGAATAGAAAAGAAAAATATTGTTTCAAAATATTTTCTTTGAAGGTAAAGACTGTCACAAAAGTTATAGCAACACGGGAGGTTAGACATATAGGCCCTGATGGACGGCCCATAGAGTACCCTCCTTCAGGGACAGAGTATGTTCCCTTTCACTATGGTAATCCAGCAGATGGCAGTCAAGATTATGGAACTTATGATTCAGGTTTGTCATTCTTCATTCCTTTCAAGTTTATTAAGAATCGAAAAAGAAAATAATAATTTAAACTAGATAACAAAATATTTTTACCACTGTTTACCACAAACAAAAAAGAACGTGTATCACTAAAGAAAATTGTGCTTTGCTTCATGATCTTGCAACTGTCTGTAAAAGAGTACACTAGAGCTCAAACCAACTGTATACTTTTTTTAAGCATAATATATTCAACGTTTAGTCTTTCATGGAATAGCTAAAAAAATTATTTTTTCCTCAGGTCGCCCACCCAGTCCTGCAGGACAAGCACCAACACATGCTGGCTATCCTGGGGACTATGCTATGTATGGTAGAGCACCTTCTTTGGATTCAGGCAGGGTATATGAGCTCTGTCCACCAGGAGATGGTCAGAGTTATCAAGAGTATGACTATCGTGACTACCCTCCACAGCCTCCTTCTCCACCATCAGCTGCATCTGAGTCACCCCCACCTCGGAGAGCCATGCCACAGGCTCCACATGGTGGACCCATTGACTTTAATCACCATCCCTCAGGATATGAAGAACTTGACACCACAGTGGGTCTACCTAGGTCTAACTTTCAAGATCGTTATGGAAACACTCCATCACCAGCTCCTCCTGGTGACAGATATGGTATATAAAGTTTTTTGGAATTTATTTCTTTTTTAAGACATCGGGATGCATGGGTAGTAATCTTTGGCCAAATACTGGGTGTCCGGGTAACCGACCGCTAAGCTTTGGCTGGGGCAGGGTGTTAACCAGGACTAATCCCCTCCCCCCAAATAAATAAGCAACATACACAAAAATTAGAAACAAAAACAAAATTGAGGTTTATTAAATTTAACCAAATAATCACCAATAGAACATTTGAGTTCTACTTTCAACTTCCAAAATTAACTGACAAAAATGTGCACACCAGTTTGCAGAATACTTGTATTTTTGGAATTTATATAAATTGTACTTGAGGAACAGTAGCATTTTGGCATTTTTGGGTAAAAGCCTTGACCTTTTGTGGGTGGTAATGTTGTCAGCAGCACTAAAAGCCCGTTCGCTGTCTACACTGCCTTGTTCTGGCCATTGTGCGAAATTGAGCTTCATTTGACTTCCAAAAGTTAGGCCACTGAAAATAAATGCAAAAACACTGATGTTGACATGTTTTAGAATCATTATTCCGATTAATGTCTAGTCCCAACTTCTCAAACCCTAACCCCTGTTGTTCTTAAAAACCCCACCTTTCCCAGAAATCCACTTCTCAAGCCATGCCTGTTATTAACTTCTATTCTTCTCCGAATCTCCAACTTTCAGCAGGTTGTCAGTCTTTGTTGCTCGGAACACGTTTCTTTAACTAAACCAATTATTGACTGTAACTTTCAGTACCACGTAAGTTGCCACAAAGATTAGGGCTTAGATGCCATTTTCAGTTACCCGGATTTGGCTGATTTTAACTTTGACACTTGGCCGGAGCCGAGTTTTACCGGGTAGCCAAATCAATGGCCGGGTACCCGTGCATCCTTTATAAGAACCACAAATACAAAAGTAAAATGTTTGTAAAAAACAAAAAATTAATAAAGGCTCCATCACCAACTTCTGCTGCAGGCAATGGTATGTACAATTTCTCGTAGTTTATTTATTCTTTAAAGAATTACAACTTTTATTAAAATTATTTTTTTTGTTTTATTATACTTATAAAATACACAACCAATGAGTAGTTTCTTTTGATTTAAATTTAACAAGCTTCTAATCAGAAAAGAAATTGCATTAGTTTTCTTTATTCTTGTGTTTTGAATCATTGTGGGCAGCATCAATATCTAACGTGATTAAATTTTTAAGAGAGCTCCTGTAACTAGTTTTTTGACATTCATTTACTGTTCCTAGGCCCGTATGGGTACCCGGGCCCTCAAATACCAGTTACTTCACCAGGTTACAATCCTTATGAACTTGGTCCTCCACCTCAAGGGTACTTAGACAAAAGACCAAGCTATGATGACCATCCACAGGGCCATCCTACTCCTTACTACCCTGCTCCCACAGCAGTGTTAGAAGATGATGTAAGATTGGAAACCCTTCCAGAGGGCCAACTTCTCCCACCTCCACGACATCCTCATCTTGACTATGACCCTGTTGAAACTGAAGGAAGAGGTAAATCTTATTTTTTGCTCAGGATAATTGCTGTGAAAATAATACTACATAGAACCAATATTTGCTAGAATGGGCTTTTTTGAAACTTGGGTGGTTGTACAATTTATTAAAGTTAAAATTATTGTGCCTCTAGTTTTGTCAAACTAGAGAATTTTTTTTTAAATTTTCTTTTGGGTTTAACCCTTATGATCTTTACTGCACAGTGCTCCTATCAACATTTCAAACTCATTCCTTATTATAAAAAAGATTTTTTACAGATGTGTTGTATTCTTGCAAGTATATTGTCACACAATGCAAGCCAAGAACACACATTTCTTCAAAAGAGTCAAACTTTATTTGCAAAAATAAACTTTCCATTTATTATATTTATTATCAAATGTTGATGGTGTAGCAGATAATAAAGACATTTTTGTTATTTGTTTTGTTTGTGTAGTGTCTTAAATAATGAAAAAGTGGTTTGGCAGTCTGTTAATATATAATAAAACTATGTGTAATGTTTATGTGCAAGACCTGAGGTACAGATTACAAAAAACACTAAAGCTAGAACAAGCTTTGTAATTGTACTAACAGTTGAGCTCTAAATTTTTAAGACTTAGATATCTAGTCTTAACTGTTGACAAGACTTAAAGATGAAAACTACCTAGTTTAATCCTAACATTAACCAAGATAACTCAATAGATCATTACACAAATTTGAGAAACAGCAAGTAGTTTTGATACCCAAATGCTTTTCTGTGGCATGGGAAAACTCAACTGTCATCTTCAGAATCCAGATTCAAAATCTCTACAAATCAGTCGTTTTTTTTGCTTAGCATGTGGACATCCACTCTTAGGTTACTAATGTTCCTCCAAGCTCATCAAACTAAAGACTATTTCAGTCGTAAAATTTCACAAAATCCAATAGCTCCATTAGCAATCTCAAGTTTCCGAGACAATATTTCACCTCTACTCGCTAAAAAGCTTTCTCGATTAGTACTGCCCAATCTTGGCACAAATTTTTTGCTTACAACTCGCCTTGTAACCACAATTCTTTTTGCAAATGATCATGCAGTAACGGTCCACCAATAGGGATGAAACACTACCCCTATCACTTGCAATTTATTTATTATATCCTTGAATTTTTACTTTTGAGTGTTTTTTTAATTTTGTCACTGCCATTTTTTCCTTTTTTTAATGGAGAGTCACAATATAACTAGTTTTCTACTCTCCATCACATGTCATCCTAGGGGGGTCTAACCTAGGCCTCCTTCACCCTTTGTACTCATTGTTTCCTAAGGTATGTTATTTTATCTTTGTCTCATGTTTCCTTTGATTTCACCCATACTCTCTTTGGATCTTCTTTGGTTATTCCTTCTTACCCAAATAATGGGGTTCATGCTTGTTGTTTTGGGATACACTTCCATTTGGGGGTCATTATTCTTTGTCCCCCATGTCTGTTGGCCTGTGATGCTTTTCTCATTCTACTTACCCATAATTTGCATTGCCCCTTTTAGATTTTTTTCTTTTCCAATGTGAGGTTTGGACCCTGATGCTTAGATTGCATTTCCCGACTTCAGAACTTTCCCATTCCTTTATTACGTTATCCATTATAGTCTGTGCTTTATCTTTCTTTTGCCTTTTTGTTGGTGTTGTTCTACAATTTTATTCTTTGTTTTTCTGTTGGTTATAGTTGTCTCTGTGCTACAATAGCACTCATTTCCTTTTCAGCCTCGCTTTACAGATATGGCTGCTATGAAGTTGGGTTCTTCTAGGTCGAGATCCTGTTTTCTTTCGGGTTCTTTTATCCTCTTTTTGTAATGTGCATTGCGCATGGCTCTTTTTTTTTCTTTTCTCTATCACTAGGTTTTGGGGGTTTTCTGACTATTTAGAGATCAGGTTGTTTTAGAAAGTCTCCATAACTTCATTTCCACTTGCCACCCCCTGTTATATCACTATCAATTTTATTTCACCCTCAGTGGGATCCTGTTTCTTCCCAGCATTAGTCAGAGGTGACTCAGGTCTTACTTTTTCATGGTCCATTCTGTGAGGAGATAATTTTCGTTAAGGGATTTGGACTCGTGTTTTGTGGATGATGTAGGTCGATGTATTGGATACATATCTCTCCATTTTCTTATTTCCCTAGCATCTAGACATTTTTCTTCTTTCTGTTTGTCATGGGTGTGTTTGTGTTTTCAGTGTAGGGTGTTTTGTTCAGTCTTGCCTCAGCTTTCTCTGTGTTCAGTTGAATGGTCTAGACCTTTGATCGTCTACTTCTTTCTGTGAATTTAGCATACACCTTTCTGGGGACAGCTGGATACTTATAGCTTTCTCACTGGCCGTATCTACTCTCCATACTCAGTTTCTTCTTTGGGAAGCTGCCTGTGTGGGTGGGTTCATCACAGTGAGGATTTCATTCATCACACCTGATCAATTTCTAGTTTTCTTGGGGTGTTTTTCATCTCAATTCTTGATTAGAACCAACCTTCTCCCCTTTGTGATGAAACTTAGTTGAATGGATGGCAACTGCCTGTTGTAGTAACACAAGTGTAGAGGATGACATTTCAAAAGTCTTCCTGAAGATGATAGGCAGAAGACTTTTGAGACATCATTCTTAACACTGGTGTTTCTACAACAGGCAGTTGCTGTCCATTCAACTAAGTTTCATCATGAATACTCTGCCTTAAACAATCTATCAAAGAATACTTCTCCCTTTCCTTATTGCATCTGAAGTTCTCTCCCATTTGGGGACATGGGCTTCTCTCGCAGTCCTAGTTCCTCCTAATCATGCCAACATTTGCCATCCTCTTTGGGTTTTTGGATCATAAGATTTTGTCTTGTGCTGGATCCCTTGTATTCTCCCCTTACCCCTTTCCCCACACTAACAGGCTGTATTGACTGTTGGTTGTATAGAACCACTATTGCTGCTGGTCTTCCTCTTCCTTATATGGATTGTCACTTTTTCCAGATGCTTCTTTTTCCATTTGGGGAATATCTCTCGACACTTGGGAGATTTGGGGGTGTGGAACTCTTTTGACTCTTCTTGCTGTTCATCAGACAGTACTTTCCTTCCTTCTGGCTCATTTGGACAAGGTGCGATGTTCATCCATTCCTTCTTCATGCATGGCATTTATCTTGTCTCTTTCCAGGCATATCGTTTCTTGGTTTTCCCATCTAGTTTGTCCTTCCTCTGATGGTTTCCTGGAGTTGTTGATATACATCATGCTGTTGATATATACACCTAGGTTATTGTCCATTAATTACTGTTGCTATACACGCCAAGGTTATCATCCTTTAATTACTCCCATTTCTCATGCTGTTTTTTTCACTTAGTCTTCTAACAGGGATCTATTGGTTTCTCCTGTTGCAGGTTTTCGAGCAGTATTTGTCTTCCATTTTCAGTTTACTGGTTTTACTTCTGTGTTACATTCTCATTTTCTGGCTGTTATTTTCTTCATTTTCCATTACTTGTACTCCCCACTCAGCTTCTCTCCAGGATTTAGAACTTCCATGTTGTCCATCATTTTTTTATAATCCTCCATTTTAATCTTTGTTGTCAGATTCATTATTTTATTTTATTTGCTGTCTTGGTTCCTCATTGTTGGTGTGGGGTCACCATTTTTCCAAGTGTTTTGTGACCAGGTTTCACTGTGTTTGTTCCTAGTTCCTTTATTTCCTTTATGCACATGATTTCAGCTGTTCTGGAGATTATTTATGTTTTAACTCCTCTTTCTATTTCCTTCTTCTCCCATCTTTAGATCCATTCTACCCCTGTCTGATTCTTTTACTCAGCCAGGGTCCTTGTATTTCTAACACATGCACTGTGTTATTCAGTAGGTCCCAGGTCAGTTTGTTTCTTCATTGGAATCCTACCTTTTCTCCCCCATTCTCTATATATATTGGATTCACCAGTCACTTTGCCTAGCATATTCTTCCTTTCCTCTAGATGTTTGTCATCTTTTTGTGTTTTGTCCTGTCAAGAAAGAGACTGGATTCTGAAGGTGACAGTTGAGTTTTCCCAAGCCACAGAAAAGCACTTGGGTATCAAAACTATTTGCTGTTTCCCACATTCGTGTAATGATCTATTGACTTATCTTGGTTAATGTTAGGATTAAACTAGATAATTCTTATCTTTAAGTCTTGTCAACAGATAAGACTAGATATCTAAATCTTTAAAATTAGAGGTAGTATATTCAAAAATACATTTTCAGTTGAGGAAAATGTTAACTTTCCAGTACAGACACTTGGCAGATATATATATTTCAAATCAATCTTTATTTGATGGTTACATTTACAAAAACTAACTTTATATAAAACATTATGCAATATTTCATTCTGAATTTTTCAACTGACTGATTATATTCTTCACAGTAAGAACCACTTCAAAACAGATAGTTTAGTAACTAACTCTAACAGCTTAACAGCGAAGTCTTAAAGAAATAGAAGCAACTGTTGACGACTACTGCATGGCTATAATAATGCTAATATCTATATTATCCACCTTTCATTAATAAGAAACTTTTAAGCATTAAAGCTGAAGTAATGAAGAAAATAGACACCATATAATAAGCTATCTAAATCTAGCCTCTTCTCAATTAAGAGATCACCTAATTAACTAACACTGCTTGCAGATGTGCAATGTTTCTTTCATGTCACACAAAAGTTCCTAGTTTAATACACAAGTGACTTAGTTATAAGAAGTTTAATTTTATGATGTCTTTTTATACTTAATGACCATTTATTTAACATTATGACCCAATATTCACATTTGGTGCAACTTTGCATATTAAAGTGAAAAAATGTTTTTCTGCTCTATCAAGTTTTTCATGAGCACACTACCTGTAACTTTAAATAGCTACACACACGCTATAGAAAACCACGTATGAAACCTACTGTCAACCATTAAGCTAATTACATACACAAATATACTTCATTAACTACAACTGAAGTGCTAATATCTGCTAAAGGGTAATATCCTGCATACCATTCAAGTAATGCACTGTAAACTAGTTTACCCACTGTATTTTAATACCATATAGCAAGGTGGACCACGTAATGTTGGTAGTGTTAGTTCTGTAACATACTGTATGGCAAGATGGACCACGCAATGCTGGTAGTGTTAGTTTTGTAACATATTGTATAGCAAGGTGGACCACGTAATGTTGGTAGTGTTAGTTTTGTAACATTGTATAGCAAGGTGGACCACGTAATGTTGGTAGTGTTAGTTTTGTAACATATTGTATAGCAAGGTGGACCATGTAATGTTGGTAGTGTTAGTTTTGTACTATTTTTCAGGTTTAATGAAATTTTCAAATGACATTTCTTACTACTTTTCATAAAAGAAACGAAAGAAAAACAAACAACAACCAAAAACACCTACACATATGCTTACATGAAAAGTGCTTATCTTGGCAAAATGACAAGATTCAATCATTTTGTACAAACAGATAATAGTTATATAATTGAATCCTACTCCTAAAAGATATGGCACAAATGTTTTGGCATGTGCATTGTGTAAACTTTTAATTTTCTTTCAGTAATAATTTGTCAGTGGTATACTAAAAACAAAAATTAACATCTTTGAATTATGGATAAGTCACTAGAACTCATGACAAAGTAATAAAGTCACTGATAATTTTGGTTTAAACTTTGCAATTGTTCTTTATCTGTGTTGAACTCCTGATTTCTGTAGCAGAAAATATTTGACAACTTGTCTAAGAATTATGCCACTTGAACAAGTTATGTAAACCTTTGTTTTAACATCTAAGAATGTGTATAACACTGAAGAAAAATGACAGCCAAACTCTGTGTAAGAATAGAATAGGCTTCAAATTGATGTCATGTTATACTTTCAATTTTAGACATTTTGGGACTAAGCCAATTACTAGCTAAGTGTTTCATCAGTTACAAGCTTCCCAGTGAACCTATAAGACTTACAGGATCACTTTCAAAATATAAGCGTTAATATTTTTGTCAAAATGTCCTATAAAACATATTTTTTGAGCCATCCTGAACCCCACATGTATTTATTTTTTACGTGTCAATAAATCATGTTAAAAACAGGACTTTGGAGAAAAGGATAAAATTTGTTGATGTAACAGTAAACAAAAACCTATAATAAAAGCACCATAAACTGGCAAGTATTCTTTGTTAAAACATAATAAATCTATATTGGTCCCAATAATTGTGATTTCATGAGTGATTCAGGTTTGAAAATTGTTTGTTTGGGCAAAACACCTATTAAAAAAAAACAACTATATTTTTGTGGCCAATGGACCTATGAAGAAAATCTATATTTTAATGTTATAGCCTATGGTTGTTTTAAAATAAACTGGGATACTTCCAGATTACGAACTATTCCAAACAATTAGCCATTATCTTATTATAACTAAAAACTATTGCAAAAATGAAATGTCACATAATAACTAGTAAAATTTCATCAGGTATATTTGAAGAATTAACCAAAATTGTATGAATATTGTTCTTTTTTTTTAATTCTAACAAAAGCAGAGTTGGGACTGAAATCTGAACTTTATTTTAGATGTACGATGGAGAGACCCTGACCTTCATGAAGTAATTGATTTTCTTGGACACCCTAATAATGTGGTGCGAGCAAATGCAGCAGCTTATCTTCAGCATCTGTGTTACATGGATGATAACATGAAACAGAAGACAAGGTAAAAGAAAATGTGCTGAAAAATGTAGAATTCTAGCTTTAAATAACTTTTTTCTGCATTAAGTCAGACTTATATTTATTAAATGAATAAAAAAATTAATTAGCTATTAACTTTTAACTTTGTGGAGACTAACCTTTTATGGTTTAGAAAAAAAAGGTTTATTCCAAAATATTATCTTCAACTGATTTGAAGAACTCATAGTTTAGATTGTAGATCCTTAAAAATATATATATCCATCTGTTCAAGGTGTGAGTGAGGAATTTAAGAATCGTGTTTTACAGTTCATAAACTTTTTAACCCAATACTAATTTTTAACAGGTGAGTTTTCTTGTATGATGTAAAATCTGTACATGAAAACCCACCTTTAGAAACACAACAAAGTACTTGATAAACCTTCTATACATTTTAGGTAATGATTTTATTTCATATCATGAGTTTCAAAGATTATTGACAATTAAATATTTTTGTATGAAGAAAAAAATTCTGCTGAAAAATGTAAAAATTACTCCAGATAGATTTTGATAAATACAATTAAATTTGCTGTTCTTGCCAATAAAAAAAAAATTTTTGATAATACCAAATTGTTGCTATATGAAAGAAAGTTTAAAATTGTCGGCAGCACAACATATTTTGCTGATTATTCATTTTAAACTGGAATAATATAAACATGTTATAGATTTTAGTTTTAAAAGATATACTTTGTATGAAGATTGATAACTTACAAAGCCATATGTTGTTAGCTAATAGTTGTTCTCAGAATTATATTATGGTGGGTGTTTAAAGTAGTATAAATGTTTTAACTCTAGTTTTGGTTGGTCCAAAGTAGGGAAGTCCTGAGTAATGACAATTTGTGGTCATCAAAACAGTGACCTGTGCATATGTGCTTCTATTTTAAAGAATTAGCATCTATAAAAAGCTTGACCTAATACTTAGTTTGAAGTTTTATTAAATAATCTATTCGTTATTATAGAAAGTGTACAAGTTAAATTATATTTTAACCACTGATTCAAAAATATTTCAGTTTTATAAAAATTGACAATTATCTTGATAAAATAATATAAGGAATTTGACTCGTCTGTATTTGGACACTCTCCTACTGCTTGAACCGGATGTTGAAAATTCTTACCATTTGCATTATTACAAGCTTATTTTGATTAATATGGCCTAATTGTTTACCTGTGGAAATGACTTTGCACACTTGTGGTTTGGGTAATTATTCACTGTGCTGAATTGCACTTTTGTGTGAAGCTGCTAATCTTAACAAGTTCTTAGTCTAACCTGTTTCTTATAAGTTAACCATCTTTTAAAGGGCTTTAGGGGGAATCCCACCATTGATAGAGTTATTGAATCAAGAAATCCCTGAAATCCAAAGGAATTCCTGTGGGGCTCTCAGAAATCTGTCATATGGAAGACAAAATGATGAAAATAAGGTGAGATTGGGACTTTACCTTTGATCTCTGTTTATAATACAAGAATAAATTGTGAATCTTTATCATATTTTTATACATAAAAAAATTTTTAAATCAATAAAAAAACCTAAACCCATTTTCCCAGAAATTTAAAAAACAATATTATAATGGTTTCTATTGTTGGGTGGGTTCTTTTTAATTATTCAGTAAAAATAATGAGAATTCCAGTCTACTTTAAAAAAAGAAGGAAAGTGTTTTATTTCTTCTACTAGAGACTCTACAGCTCCTCAAGAGATAGACCTAACTCACAAATTAAATGAAGCAATGACTTATTTTTTATATTCTGAACTGACTTACTAACTCACCAATTCTCTGGTCTGGTGGTTTATATCATTACATTATCCCCCCCCCCCAAGTCTAGAAAATTCAAGACGTTACATGGTAATTATTTCTCATCAAATCTAAACAGAGGGAAAATTCTAGGCATCACACATTGTTACATCATGCAAAAATTAACCGTAGCAAACAATACAAAATGTCAATTAGAATTTTTAAGACATAATTCACAACAATAGCTTCATTTAGTGTTTATATTGTTGAAAGTTATATTTTCAGAGGGCATATGAGGTTAAGATCTATTAAATTCATCTAAGATCTATATGAATACGTTAGTTATAAATACCTGTATTCAGTGAGCTTGAGTTAATGAAATTCAGTGAAGTTATTGAGTGAAGACAGATATTTCATTCAAAAAAGTAAATTTATACGTAATGAATATGTCTTAGAAAATGAGATAAAATGGCCTCCAAATTATTTCTTTTTTTTTTCATTTTTACTTGCATATTTTATCTTGTATAAACTAAAAGATTAACCAGTATAACAAGTTTAATTTGCTAATAATAACACTGAAATTTTCAGAGATATTCGTAACATTAAGGAAATCAAAATATGACTATTTGTGATAAATGATAAAAGATTAACCAGTATAACAAGTTTAATTTGCTAATAATAACACTGAAATTTTCAGAGATATTCGTAATGTTAAGGAAATCAAAATATGACTATTTGTGATAAATGATAAAAGATTAACCAGTATAACAAGTTTAATTTGCTAATAATAACACTGAAATTTTCAGAGATATTCGTAATGTTAAGGAAATCAAAATATGACTATTGTGATAAATGATTTTTTAACAACATCGTGCTTTGTGCTGTATACATTTTGGAGAACAAGAAATTATATGGTGGATGGTGTAATTGTCAATAAACTTAGCCTTATATGACAGAATCATAAAAAATCATAACTGTTTTTTATTTTCTTTTTCTTTTTTAGCGAGCTATACGTAATGCAGGAGGAATCCCTGCATTAGTAAGACTACTTAGAAAAACACCAGATAATGAAATCAGAGAACTTGTAACAGGAATTTTGTGGAACCTGTCATCTTGTGAGGTAAATTTGCCATTTTTTTTATAACTATGATATTTTCTCCATGAAACCAAATCAATAGTTTTATTAACAACATGGTAAAATCAACTTAATTGTTTATATCAATTTTATAACAATAGAAGCTGAGTTAGTGTTGGAGAATTTTTTAAAATAATTCCTACTTAAATTATGATATGAAAAAATATTTCAAATCTAAATGTTTTTATTTGCTAAAAGTTCAGACAAGTGTTTCATCTTGCCAGTAACTAACTGGTGTGACTAAATAGGACAATATACAAAGTGACATATCATTTAGTTCAATTGCTATTATATTGTGATTTTTTAATACTTCTTTCATATTTAAATGATCTATAAGTGCTTCAAATTTCTTGCTTTTGTATGTACTTTTTTTTTCAACTTCAAAGTAGTACTACTGATTTGTACATTTTATCTTGCATAGTGACTGTTGTACTATATATTCTAAATAAGAATAGGTTGAATTGAATAATTGTCAAGTTTTGTTATTTTGATTTAAAAAAGGATGATGTTTCGACCTAATGCTCTTTGTTAGATCGTACAGCTTTCTATATGTTTGTCGCCTATCCATTTTTATCTATATATTTCTTGTCGTACTATGTTCTACCATGAACAAATCAAAGTATGAATAGATGGTATTACAGAGAGTTGTTGTTATACCATTTTAAGCCTTTGATAGTGTTAATGTTCTTTACAAATAAAATTTTACAGATATTTGATGTTTACATACAATATCTGAAATGATGTTAAAATGGTGCTCCTTTTTCTCAGATTTTTTTTTTTTAAATGATTGATCATGACACTTCAGTTTTGTTGAATATTTCCCAGTTTACCCTTATATGCACAGGGTAAAAGTGCACAAGCTGTGACCTTTTACAATGTCATTCAACATGGTATTATGTATTTATTGTCAGAGTTATTTAATATTAATTTTACCTACATTGCTGATTTGGCAACAGTATACAGGGATACTGAAAACAACTGTAGATATGCGTTTTGGAAGTTCCAAAGGTTATACAAATACAGTGTGTAAATTGTATGAGGGATAAAAGTATGTTTATTCTTCACATAAACATAATCTTGCACTCCAACTTGTCAGAGTTTGAGTCATGCTGACATATCTTGAGTACAACTACCTTTGTAACACACACACTTGATTTTTTGTGTACAAAAAAGTTGTACATTTTGCTAAAAGCTGGCCACATTTCAAATAAATACAGTTAGTAAATTTGGAATTATAGTCAACATTCCTTCTTCAATACAGGGTTGGTCCAATGGACCTAGCCCATGTGCATATGGTTAATGCATTCATTGGTTCTTTTGAATTACACATAGTAATGAGTTTGTAAAGGGTTATTACAATATAGTATGTTATATCTATAACATCAAGCATTGAAATATGGATTTATATTATTTGTGATATATGATGCATTTAATTAGCTACGGTGTCTCTCATCAATCTTTCACTTTTGTTTTTTGTATAGGATTTGAAACGTCCAATCATAGATGATGCATTATGCGTCCTGGTGAGCCATGTGATCTTTCCTCATGCTGGCTGGGATCGTAACCGAGATAACTCTGAATCTGTACGACCCCAAGAAGTATATTGGTCAACTGTATTTCGCAATGCTAGTGGTATTTTGAGGTAAGTGGCTCACCTGTAATAAGAGGGTGGAGGTGTTGATCTAATAAATATTTGCCTAATAAGAAGATTTCTTGTTAAAAAATATTCCATTTTACAACAGTGTGTTCCTTCTGTGTATTAAAACTCAACACATAATAGTCACAATTGTTAAAATCTATAGTGTTGGCTATGCTGGAATATCGTTTTTGCGATTTAAGTTATGATTAAAACCTGTGACTGATATGTACTATCCAAACAAATGGATAAACTGTCTTTGTTGTGCATATTTTAATAAAGTATCAATAATTTAAGAATGATATGATTGATCTTAGTGAAACTTTACAACATAAGATTTAAGCAAACTGTAACACTTATGATATAGCCTGTTTTGTCTTTACTAAAAATTACATGAATAAAATATTGCAATTTCACATTTTATTAAATGTAATGATGTATTACAAACATAGATCAAATTTAAAGGGAAAAACATGTTTGCCAAGGAAAACTCTGGGAATTTCATTCTGCCTAGGGTGTGGTAAGTAAATGTGATGTTTTTTAAATTTTTTTTGCATTTATTTCTTATAGAAATGTGAGTTCTGCAGGAGAATATGCAAGAAAAAAACTTCGAGAGTGTGAAGGGCTTGTAGATTCTTTATTGCATCTGGTTAAAGCAGCAATCGGAAAGAATGACATGGATAATAAAAGTGTGGAAAACTGTGTTTGTGTATTTCGGAATCTGTCTTATCGCTGCCAGGAAGTAGAAGACCCAGACTATGACAAACATGTGTTTCAACCATCTCAACCTAAGGGTAGTCCAATGAAAGGTAACATTGTTTTTCATATTTTATATTATTCTAAATCAAAACTTAGAATTTTCACATGTTTGACTGTACTTGAATTTTATATTTATTTGTTACAATTATCTGTGATCTTTCTAAATAAGTGCAAAGAGAATACACTAGTGCTAAACTGTATTACATTACCTCTGATGAGACGAGGTAGACTTGGCTGCGCATATCATTACCTATTACAGAATTAGTACAAAAGTTTGATAAAACAACTGGAAAATGCCAGCACCATCTCCATATCTCCATAGGGTAGCTGCACCGTAGGTAGTAAGCATTGTTCTTGAACGAGTACGAGTTTTTCTGCACTTTTACTTATCATTCTGATTTACAGTTTTTTATCCTATGAAATTAAAAAGTACTCATTATTTACTTTTAATCACTTTTTCTACCGTGTGAAATTTGCATCTTGAATGTTTATCTTCCACTTACAATTTTTGATATTATTTGTTTCATTAATTATAATTTAGTTTTATTACCTTTTTGCAACTATTGTACTTTGTATTTTAATCTTAATGACTTAGAGCAACGACAAACTATTAAACTAGCTTTTCTTGTTTTTTCTGTTTACTAGTCTAAAATATTTTGTGTGCAGCTGTATTTTTCTTTTAAAATATCTTTCATTTGGAGAGCCTTTATACATTTATCAAAGAACTGAAATTATCATTATTGTTAGATATAAAATATGAGAGATTTTGGTAGCCCTTAAAATAATTTTAAAGTACATCTTTTTTTTGAGAAATTCTTAATTTTAAACTATTTGTTTAATTAACATTTACAAGATATTCTTTACAGGCTTTTTATTTTTTCCAGTTTTTTCCTGCATCCTTCTTAAACTTTTTAACAAGGATTTTTAATATTTCTTTTGCCAAATCCTTTTTAATTATTTCTTCATTTTTCTTAAAGTAATTTTATTAAGTTGTTCTTATAAGCTTATTTTTTCTTCACAGCTGAACTCTTCATTGGGTGACTGTCAATAAGAAGTAGTTTAAGATATTAATAATTTCTTCTTTTATAATGTATTAGCATCATATATTTGTTTTTTTCCAGCTTTGTTAGGTTGGAAGAACTTAGCCTTTGGCTTTTATGTCAAGAATATTGAAGGAATTTTGCCATAAATAAGTTAAGCTGGCTTATACAGAAATGAACTTTATTGTAATTAGATCCAGATAAATAAGTATAGTCAGTATTTTATCATACCATTCCTACTCTACACTTGCTTGTAATTTACCAGGGTTTTAACTGTACCAAAAAGCTTAACACTTAAATTTTCCTGCCTATTTATCCAAGCTGCAAGGTTTTCCACATCTCTTATTCCATAACGTTTATCAATCATTGTAGATGCTGTAGAGGTATTAGTATGGATTTTTGTATGCTTGATGGCACATGTTGGCTGACAACATTTCATCACTTTTGATGGGCTAATAGATCAAGTTTGTATCAACATTTCAACAGCACCTAACTTCTATACTGCTTTAAAATAATCTCAAGAAATATTTGAGGCTGATAACTATTATTTATTATTATCATTTGGGTGTGCTCCCAAACATTTTTTAATACAAGTGTAGGGATTGAAACATTACATTCCCACATGCCTGCGGAATTTAACTTTCCTTGAGGAATTTCTTCATATTAGTTGACTTTCCTGACAATTATTTTGTTATGAACAATGAAAGTGAACATATTTCATGGATTTAATGAAAAAACAATCCATGAGGGAATGTAATCTTCCTGATAGCTTCCCTCGAGTGAATGTAATTTTATTTCAATATTTCTATCCCTGAATCATTACCATATTTTTTGTATGTTATTTGTCTTGTCCATTACTTTGTATGGTCAGTTGGTTCAGTAGCTTACCTTTTGGTATGTTTAGGTACTTTTCTCAGTTACATAACTATCTACAATTACATTACTTTTACTTCTCGGAACTATTTTTCATTTTAAGGTTCTTCATTGTAATATTTTTATGTATAAATAAAATCCTACATTTTCTTCATTGATTTGACTAATTGCATCTAAGTGTGTACAAGACTCATTCAGCTTTGAAAAAGCTTGTCAGAATGAGATCAATGCTCATGTTTCTCTGTCATATTTGGGGATTTCATAGTATGGCAAGCAGGTGTGGGGTATCCATATTTGAAGACAATGGCTTAATATTTGTATTTGCTGAATGATTTAGTGAATACTTAATTTTCTAAAAGTAAATGTCAACTTTTGTACTCATCCAATTTCTAAACTGTTATTATTACATTTACAGCATGTTAAATCAGGTCAATACTTTCCAATCTTGTTAAAAGCTATTGTATTACATGGTTAGTAATCCAATCAAGTCACTTGAGAGAATTTGAGATGGCTGCTAAACTGTCTTCAGTGGTACATGAACACGTCATATTTCTTACTGATATGTGTGTGGT